CGGAAGCAGAGGGACGGAGGGGGATGTGTGGTCAGTGCGGGCAGCAGCGGAGGTAGCGCCTAGATCTGTGCGCTTGCCTCCAAGGAATGCTCCTCTGAATGAATAACAAACTTGGAAAACTCTTCTATACTTCTTTCCTAAGAGAAAAGCTTTCCTCGAAGGTGTTGCATTTAACATTGTTCGCAGCTTGATGGCAAAAACTAGTCATCCGTTAGTTGAAGTAAAAATAGTTCTATAAGTTAATGTTATTTTGGTAGGATACTCATACTGCTAAAAATATTCTAAGCACTTGTGGTTTTTTAATAGTTTTTTACAGGCTGGTGGATCATCATAGATGCGGCSGTAAAATACCCTGAAGTGGAAGAATTCAACCATTCGTATCATGCTTGTGGGGTTATAGCCACTATTGCCTTCCTGATGTAAGTATACTCTTGATCAGAACTGTTCACTCCTAGAACTTAATTATTCTGCTTCTGAGAAATCTCTCCTCTTGCTTATAGACATTTACATCTTGCTTCACCTGCGGTGCCTATTTTCTTCCTTTTTTGCTCATACAGGATCAACGCAGTGTCTAACGGACAAGTTCGGGGTGACAGTTACAGTGAAGGCTGTCTAGGACAAACAGGTAAATTGATTTTATTTTTTAATGGAAGCTACAAAGTCTCTTAAACAAAAGCACGTTGAAAGTCAAAGTATGTGTATTCAGACAAAGGCACAAAACATTCATATACAAAAATATCTTTTTTAAGGTGCTCGAATTTGGCTATTCATTGGTTTTATGATGGCTTTTGGATCTCTGATTGCTTCCATGTGGATCCTTTTTGGAGGCTATGTTGTCAAAGGTAAGATGCAATGTGACTTTATGCACTTTTGATAATTCASTTTAAAGTTCAAGTGTTTTAAACGGATGTTTAAAATATTTCAGAATTTGTTTTTAGATTGTTTCTGTGAGGATCCACTTTTAAAGTAACTTTAAATAATTCTGGGCCACATGGGAAACCGTACCTAKGTAATTAGCTTACTTAAAGTTATATGGGAAAAATTCCCTGGGTAAACACTTACTCCTGGAGTAAAAGTCACTGATTTAATATGCATTAATTCTTTTCAGCTTCTGCATTTCTTGTTTCATGTAACACTCTTTCCAAGCGTTCTCAAATTAAACTAGTAACTGTGCTAACTAACATAATGCAATTTAGTGTTTCTAATATGTCAGAGACAGGATAGTCTTGAAGAAGGAATTCTGAAATATTGATGAAGGTGCTTTTGTTTTTTGCTTAGAAAAGGCAGTAGTATACCCAGGAATAGCTGTGTTTTTCCAGAATGCGTTCATCTTTTTCGGGTAAGCCTATTTTCCCTTCCTTTCTTATATAAATTTATTTTTAGTTATTAAAATCGAAGCTTTCTGTAAGTGATTGCCCTACTTTATAACTAGACACGTGTGGACAGACAGTTGGCAAAGTAGGTAGTGCTCTGGGATTGGCTTACCTGGGTCGCATGCCAGCGTGGAGATTTACAAATACTGCAGTTTACTGCCTGAGATCAAGAGGCATTTGATGTGTTCCCTTATGTACTTTTTTTTCCTCTTTGTTCTGTTTTAAACAGCGGACTGGTCTTCAAATTTGGTCGCACGGAAGATTTGTGGCAATGAACACCCCTATGGAAGTGTATTGGCCGTGTCATTTTTTTTAACTGCACACTCCCCAAATTTTGTAAAACCGTTTTGTAAACAGTAACCTTCAATTGTGTCTAAAGATTAAAAAAGGAAAATTTAAATCATAGCACTAAAAGTCAGTTTCTATTCCATTTTAAACACTTTTTTTTCTTGCATTTGTATCTTGATTTAAATGTTGTAATGTTTTTGACAACTGTGAGATTGATACAAGTAAGAATGGAAGTCACTTCTACGATAATCAAGTTTCCTACAAGTACAGTATAGTGGAGAAATGATGTATGCAGCCAGCTCTTTCTGTGATGTTATTTACAATCCAAAACTGTTGCTAAAATGCTTTAAAACAACTTTTTAACATGTATTTATTAAATATTTCCTATACCTGAACGCTAAACCTTCCTTCACTCTGAAATTTACTTGTGCGGCTTTTCTTGCATGACACACCATTACGCGGCTTTGGGCTTCCTCCCCACACCTAGTATTTTCTTTGGTGAAAAGTAACCAAAACTGTGGAAAGTAACAACTTCCTCTTGCCGTGGATGACATCGTAGATGCAGTAAGATGTATGATGTAGAACCTGCTCTAGATTTAAGTAATGCCTTCACAACGCGTGTTGTGCAAACTCTTAATTTAACCACTGCAAAACAAGGGCTTAGTTTTACTCTTCAGCTGATAGGTCCTTATTAGGGGGAATTTTGGTTCAATTTTGGTTCTGAAGCTCTTGTATCTCATGGTTCAAGCAGCTATTGCTGTCTACCTCTCTCTATCCCTACGTTTGGGCTAGTTGCTGAAGGAAGTGCTGACGAAAGAGACGTGATGGAGCGGAGGAAAGAGAGGGAACAAAATATTACTCCTCGAAAACACAACTACTAGAAATCATCGGCAGCCACTTGTGTTACAGAAGTTGTGTTCAGCTGGTTACTAGAAAGCAAAATACTTAAGTGCCTAAGTTGAACTTGGATTAGAAAATGACAAAGTTGGTAGTGTGTTAACGTAAGATAATGCCAACATAAATGYGGACACGGAGGGAATGAACAGAGGCCCTGTTTTGTGGCCTAGGACTGAGCTATCTTCTTTGTAAGAAATCTTCGTGACAGTTAGGGGACGTGCAAGAAGGTTGCAAGCAGAAATCTACTTCATTCCTGATGAATGCATTGAGGTCAGCATGCAGTGTTTATCTTCAATATTACATTCTCATAACTTCATTTTTAAACAAATATGCTGAATAAAAAAAAAGAATCAAATCTTGTCTTTTTTTATTATGTAAGCACTTCGACAGTGTTTTTCTGTGTCAACTATTTTGAAAAGAAGAAGCAGTGGGGACCACAAGGAGTTCCACGTTAAAACAACGGTTCAATTGCACAGAATCCTCTGCAAAAAGAGGCCGTAACTAGTACACCGAAGAGCCAGGCTTTTCCTACGATGAGTTCTAGACAAGCAGACATTTACTGTCTCATTTAAATCAAAAGTCAGACCTGTAAACCCATCAACTAGCTGTGCTAAAATAATACTTCTTCAGATAAATTTACTTTCAAAGTGGCCGTTTTCCCAGTGTCAAAAAAGAAGCATGTTCTATTGCCATATCTTTTTTTTCCTTAATGTATAGTATATAAGTTTTATAAKTAGAAAGAGTCTGTTGTACAAAATTAGTACCAATCCAGTTAAATATGTGAATTACGGAGCTATGTCATAGCTCCATTAAAGTCACCAGGAATATTGTTTCTTTTAATAGTACTTAAAACAGTTAATTTTTTGTCTGTCCATTCAAATGTTGCCTTTGAAGCTGAGAAATGATTTTTCACCACCGCCATCATAGCTTTTCTATAATGGAATATAGGAAAATCTTATCTTGGCCTAATCTTTAATTCAGGTTCCTCCATTCAAAATCCAACAGCCAAACGGGGAAACTGTGAAGACAAAAGCAGTTTTTGTGTCAACATTTTATGCATCTTATGAAAGAGCCAGGCCATAAGAACTTCAGCCCCTTCTGTTCCATTTGCTAGCTTCTCAGAATGCCCAGTTTACATACTCGGCTCTCCTTAGGGATATTGTTTATGCAGCACGGAGACCAAAGGGGTCAAYCCCAGAGGATGTCACAGTTGCTCTGACTCAGTGTTACAACAAAACAAGATAGTTTCAGATTTAGCCCTGTGCCCAAGAACAGCTCTAACAATCTAACCAATGTCTAAATATACCTAGGACACACAAGTTCAGAATGACCAATACAGGACATTGAAAATTTGCTGGGAGATTAAACAATCCTTTATTTATTCTAATTATTCAAATAGCTAGAGTCCTTCATCCCAGTCCTTCATCCCAAGCTAGAGTCCTTCATCCCAAGCACTTCGTGCTTGGTGCTATTTATGCTGCCGCACAGTTAATTGTGCACTAAAACTTACCTCCCAGTACACCTGGTCATCACAGTACTTCGATTCATGGACAGTCTTCAACAAATTGAGATTTAAAATGAGACCTATTTGTAAAAATACATATATCCAATGTAAATACCGATATTGATCGAGGAAGGGGAGGACTGTGTAACTGGAGGTTTCTCAGCATTGGACATCCAAATATAACAGAGATCAAAATACRAACTCAGAACTGAATGTTTCAGCATAGCCCCTTGAGTCAAATCTACTTTAAGTAGACAGAAACATACCAGGATCAATGCCTGGGTTCCTAAAAATTAATTCCCCTAGGTAAAACCCCATTAAACAGCCTGCTGCATTCTAAACATACATCCAAAATCATTTACTTCTTGCATGGAAAAAAAAAGTCCGTGCATTCAAAGAAAACAGGTTTTTATGTATTGCTAACTTGGGGTTTCAGATGGAAATATCTAGCTTATTAAACAGCTAGCTTAAACCTCTAYGTTTGCTTATTTTAGTAGAGATTATTTGTGTTTTCTTTCAGGCCACAGGCATAGATACCTTAAAATCCTGCTGCTGATTAGCTCAGCCTCTTAATTATACRTGAGCTAATGCAAAATTTGCAGATAAATTAAAGCACAACAATTAAGTTTAGAGTGTATTTCAGAGCAATTTTCATTTGCCATCTCTCCTTTATTCAAACCAGAATTAAGAGCTACCAAAAAAAAATGTAGCTGCCTTAAAACAGGCAAACTGTCACAYGGGGGACACATGTTCCCTAACAACTAGCGATAAAAGGCCTAGTGCCTGACTGACGTACGTGAGCTAATGACGTTAGTTGGACTTCTCAGATTCATATCAGCTGGCCTAAAAAGTGGCAAATGCCCTAGATAGCTTTTTTTTTTCTGTCATTAAGACAATACCCAAATATAAAAACCTTTTCATGCTCTCAGGTCTCCTGTCTGAAACCTGAAAGCTGCTATTAAGCAGTTGTTAAAAATAATCTTCACAAGTGAAAGATTGGTGCTACTAGCTTGCTTACRCTGAATACACCTCCTCTTCAAAGCCTGCCATTGAAGAGTCCTTGGCATTCATGTCTCCCAGATTCTCTTACACAAACAAGCTATTTATTTTAGTGCTCTAATTACACTGGTCTCGTTTTATGAAGGATGCATGGCAGCAGACGAAGTAAACAGGATGGCACAATCCCTGCCCCTTGAAAAAATGAAGACAATGCTACTGAAATGTGGTTTCCATACTGACCTGTAATAAAACCTGAAACCAAAGCCACACTGATGGTCAGGCAGAAGGCAGCAAGGTGCATCATGATTAAATATCCTTCACTGAAAAAGAGAGAGTTGCTGAATTCAGCATTAAGACTATCAAGAGGCGCATCTGTATAGCATTTTACATCAAAATCTCCTATCAAAATTCCTCTGAATCCCATCTTGAATCTCTACACAGCTGTTTAGAAGTTTTAAGGGGTCTTACTGGAAGTTTAATACAGGCTTCAAAGGACATTCTTTTTTTTCTCTTAGAAGCCATTATTGTGGTACCAAAACTTMATTGAGCTTGTGCATTTCAATAAGAATATGACTTCAAGTGTAATGCAGAGATAGGTACTGTATTCTTGTTCCTGAGCCATGAAGCTTCACCTGAAGAGAGGACTGAGGGCACAGAGCTCTCTGACGCTCAGCAGAGTCTCAGCCCTTTTCAGCTTTGGCTTTCAGTGGGAAGGAAGCTTTTGTCAAATACGCTATTCAGAAGTTATTTTTTTTTATTTCCCTCTGCCCTCACTGTTGTTGTATTAATGTACTAATATACAACTGTGCTACACAAGTCACAAAAGCCAAAATGATTCTTTGAAAGGATGCACCCCCCCAACCTTTGTGTCCTATGTCTGCCATATTTCATATCAAACACGAAGGGAGAGAGAAAACAGCACCAAGAGCTAATATCAGAATTTTGATTCAAAGTCAGCTCAATTCTGAAAGAGTTTTTATGTTTGTTTTTTTTTTTTACTTCAGAGATCATCTTAGGTATCTGCTCTAAAAGAAGTAATCTATGATGACTTTCAGCCTTTCTTTATGTAGGCAGGTCTTTGTGTATACATGAGAATTCTTCTCAGGGCACACTCATTCATGATTAGCTAAGTCTCCTGCTTAACATCAAGAACTGGTGTACCTTGGCAAATTAATCCAGTTGTCTATTATATAAAGGATGAGATGGGCAAGAGCTCCAAGCACAGCAGGCAAGCCAAAAGTGAAATGAACTCCAGAAACATCATGAATCTTGATAGCAGGAGGCAGACTTCTCTGGGAAGAGGAAGAAGTTCAGTTAATACATAGAAACACAATTTTACTGATGACAGCACATTGCCAATCTCCGAAAAGTAACTCAGGCCTTCTAACTTGCACTCTCACAGTCTGGCCAAAAGATTTCAGGTTTCCTAGGTTTGGTCTCTTCAAAATAAACTTTTCCCCTGCGGTATCCTACAAGCTTATATATCTTACACAAAAAGGAAATTCAGGGTTTGAAAATTACCTGTAAAAAGTGAGATCCCAATATGGCAATCACAGTAGCAAGCAGACCCAAAATCATGGCAATCCAGGGATACTGAATGCTGTCTGCTGCACAGCCAACAGCAACCCCGCCAGCTAGTGTTGCACGGTGGATATGCGCCTGCCAAGCAACGAAACACGGAGCGAGAAGTCAGTCATCACTTGTCAGCACAGACTGCTATTCCCACGCAAGAGGGATCTTCGTTACGTGAATTTGGGCCTCTGTATTCTGTGAATTACAAGCTTTGAGTACAAAACTGCTAAGTTACATCATCAGTCTTCTGCCTAGGAGAATTTTGATTGCTCTCAGGCCGAAGACTTGGCTTTATTTTTACTTACTAGCTATCGTTCTTTCAGTGTGTTACAAGAGTAATAGAACAAAACAGTTTCTCCATGCAATGATTTTCTCTAACATCTTACCATGCTGAGTTTTCCATCTTTCGTGGTCAGAACAGACAATGCGAAGGCAGTTACGGCACTTACTGCAAGTGCAAAGTAGGTGCTGTAGATGATATCATTCTTCTTCTCCACAGCTAATGCAGAATTAAAGCTTGGCCAGAATACCCATAGGAAGAGAGTGCCTCGGAGACAAAGACAAGCAACTGTTACTGACACACTCTCGGACACAGCAAGCCCGTCACAAGCTGTSCCTCGAAGGCTCCAGCTCACGTTCTGCATCCACCACAACACCCACAGATAGCTCTTCATAAGGCCGTCCTGAGAGCCGACTGCTTTAGGGAAATCTTCCCAGAAACTTGGTACCCTGCAAAGTCGCACACTGAGCCCAAGCACAGCTGCGTTGGGGTCTTGCTGCTCCTTCCTCCAGAGACGAGTTAAAGCCTAGGGACAGCACAACACGAGCTAGGGCCACTGTGCTTCATCAGCTTGGATGTACACAGCTTATGTGTCCTGCTATTTATTAAAGCAAGACATATTATCATCCCCTGAACAGCTACTCCCCAGCATAGCGGTTCAAAAGAGCAATTCACTTTCCTCCTGCAAAAACGGTGGACATTGTCACACTTCCATTAGCMACACTGGCTAACGGTGCGGCTAAACTCAGGTTATTCTGCTTCTATATTGCCCTTATTACCAGCATTTAGGAATCTCCTGCCCTACWGAGAAGCTACCTGCTTGCCAGTGTGTGTTCTTGCCATGTGCACATGCACACGCGTGTGCAGGTCAGATTCCCACCAGCAGAGGGAAGTAAATGTCCTCACACCAAGTCGGCGTTACACRTCAGCACTGAAGCTGCATCTGCTGCAGACAAAGCTTCCCAGGCACAGCAGCGTGGAGGCTGCAGCCCCGAGGTGTGCAAAAGAAACAACCTTATCACCATGGTCTGATACCAGCAAATRGAAGGTCTGCTGAGTGCTAGAGGTGGGTCTGTCATAACCACGATATGGGGCAAAATTGCCATTTTGACAACTCAAAACCTACGTCAGTAGTGATGACTGGTAGAATGATCTACGCTACGACCATTCCATCCCTGTTGACTGGGTATGTGGTGGCAAAAACAAACAAAAATCCACTCCCCTAATCTCACTGAAACATTCTTATGGATAACTGCTCAGTTATGGAAATTAAAGATTCACTTTAAGAGTCCAAATTTTCAGGGTGAAGACCTCAGTATTCACTCAGTCCTCAGAGGCAGGATGTAAACCAGGAACTCTTGTGAATTTGCCTGCTCAGTCATTCATTTCTCATTGTGTTACCTAAGGAATTATTCATGACACAATGATATAATTGCTTCAGATAGCCAGCACTTGGATACAACAAGCTCGTTAAAATTATAATGAAGGCTGAACAGTGCCTTGATGAGTTGGATTAAAATACCACTCTCCTGGAATTCTCCAGCAGATCGAGCACTCTGCGGACTCACATGAGCTGTATTTACATTTCTCTCAAACTGGTTGAAGAGTGATTGAGAGTTACATTATGTATGTATATATGGGCCTTCACAGCAAGTTCTTAGTCCAGCTCACAGCAGTTTCAGTTCAACTGGTGGCAGTTCTGTAACAAGCCATAATAAAAAGGAAACCATATTGCTTCTTTAAGGAAAAAAAGAAAAAAAAAAGGCAATTCTTCAACTCTTATGCAGTCAGCCTGTTATCAGGCAGATCCTTTCTGTGTGCCTGCTTGTACAGCACTCCCCACCCTCCACTGGGCTTTTATCTTTCTATTTACATTACTTAGGCAGGGACCGTCTTTTTATATCTCCATGCACCACCTTGCAAAGCTGAGCTTGGGGCCCAGTGCATGGAAACTCTATGCACTTCTGAAATACAAGAAACGGCATCAACTTCAGCACATTGTGCCTATGTAGAGGTGCCTGTACAACCCCAAGTGTGCTTCGCTGGAGGTCTCCAAACCCGCYTGGATGCCACCCTGTGCTCCGTGCTCTGGGTGTCCCTGCTGGAGCAGGGGTTTGGACTAGGTGATCTCTAGAGATCCCTTCCAACCTCAACCATTCCGTGACTCCGTGTGATTCTGTGCCCCGCACAGGGCAGCAGCAGCAGCAGATCTGCTTGCTGAGACCGTCAAAGGGAAACCAAGCAATGGCCATGGCAGAAGGGGCTTAGATGCCCGACGAGACTCCTCCGCTCAGTGCTGCAACCCCCCACGTCAATGGCAACCGTTTTTCTGCGCTTCGCTGCAGCAGGCGCCTCACCCAGCATGGACAGCAAGCTCGATGTCGGCGTGTCCRCGTTCTTCTCAGAGCTCGGCTGAAGCGCGGGGAAGGAGCAGGAAGCCGCCAGGCCAAAGTAGGCACCGAACAGGTGGACGTGCATCATAGTGGCACTGTCTGCAATCTGTACCAACAGAATAATCAAATGGGTGGCTAATTTCACGCCACAGGAGCACTTTGATGCAAGTCCTGGCAAAGCTGTAACCTCTCTGTTTGTTTCCACAGTCTCTTAGTCTTGGCACGAGTCACTGAGACAACACAAGTCATTAAGACAACACTCATTTATCTAGGCTCAGTGCAGGTGATAAGAAAAATGATTTGTGTCAAAAGGGTTTGGAGGAGGACTACACTAYAAATTAAATGCAGCTCTAACCCTGCTGTCCAGACTAAATCATACACCACTTGCACTGGAAATCTTCCAGGCTAAACTAAGAGAAAGGATGAAGTTTAAAGTTTGTTCTTAGCGTAAGTCAAGACTCTTACAGTGAGGATGGCCAAGGCATGGGGAGGGCCACATGCACTACAAGCCAATCTGTGGGCTCCTCCTTTAAGCCCCAGTGACAGACAATTATGTAGATGGACAGTTTGCAGCTTGTGGAGCTCACAGAGCCCAACTGAGCTCCCGAAGTCACACTTCATTTCCCAGTGAAAACAGCCACAATTTAACCTGATTCCAATAAAATACATGGGAGTCCTCCTGTCAGTGTAGCAGTAACATCGAGTTATCAAAAGGCAGCATTTGCAAAGCCCCAGTGAAACCTCTCCCCACGTGAAGATGCTGGTCCTGTACCTGCAGATACATGTTGTTGATCCATCTGCTCACATGGAAAGCTGCTATCTCCACGAKTGTCATCACAACCAATTGGACAGGATTAGCCTTCCCGAGAATAGCTGCAAAGGAGATGACTACAGCAGTCACGCTCACAGCAGCTTTCATTATGCTGTAGGAAAAGAAAGAAGAAAAAAAGAAATATTCCAGAGCAGGTCTGCATCATGACAATGATCATGAGAATGATCATGAGAATGAGAGATAGCAAAATATACTTAAAACTCCAAAGCCTTCCACAAATGCTGCCAAAACGACTGTGCTAATTTGCAAAAAGATCAATATCAGAAGGCGTTATCCTTGCCAAAAAAAAAGAAAAAAGGAAAAAAAAAAAAGAAACTCAGCATCTCTACACTATTCCCGTTTCTAATGGAGTATTTACCTTCTAAGATAATCTTCCTTTGCACCGTGGCTCAAGAAAAGAAAACCCTCTATCAGCACAGACCACTGGACACCAAGTACAACGATCAGGAGATTGAATCCAATGCTGCTAAGTCCGTATCTCTTCAGGAATGACAGGAAAAAGCCGAATCCAAAAATCACCATGTGGCTGACATCCTGAAAGGCTGCATGGAAAAGAAGAAGACAGCAGTGAAGTTATCACAGCAGCTTTTTGTCCTCCTCCCCCTTAAAAAACCCTGGCACTCAGAAGCACTTCCACCTACAGCCCCTTCTGCTAGGAAACATGTAAACAGTCCACATGATCCAAGTCTCTACCCCAAAACAGGGCCGATGCCCATGCTCCGCTTTGGTTCTAAACCCCCTCTCTCTCTCACACATGCAGACAAACTCAGGGCATGTCTAGCCAGAAGCAGTCTGGTTTATGTGACACACAAATTAAAAGCTATTGCTAAAAGCAAAGTATTCACTGGGTTTTACACTCTGTAAAATACCAATGATTTTGGCAAAAACATCTGAAGATTCTCTCTGTGTCATCCCCTTGATGGTTATTCCCACATCTAGTACGTGTGATTGCTTGATTGGGGTTATAAGTAGCTCTTCTCATGCCATTATTGTTTAGCATGTTTAAAGCATCCCAAAGCTTTCCTTCTGATCCGTTAGCAATCAGAAAGGCAATACTCTTGTCTTGAATTTAATTTTACAAACCAGCTTCAGGAAGGATGCCATGGGATGGCACATGGGGGGACAGAGAGGGAGCTGAGGAGTCAAACAGCAGGAGAGAGATGAAGAATGAGGTTATACCAAAGAAATTAGAGCATCTGCTTCTCAGAGATCAATTTGAAGAGTTTAAAAGCTGGACTTTTCAGGAAGAGTTATCGTGAGCTACTACGGATTCATTCCTTGCAGGCTTTAGGGAACAAATGAGTCAAGAGAAGTTTTTATGACATCCTCACTGGGGTAGGAGAAAATGGGCAGAGATACCAGCACAAGGAGTTCAATATGGAAACCAGCACCACTGCATAAAAGGAAGAGGCTGTTCAACATATAAGCTCTTGGAGACCTGGAAATGGCCCCTGGGACGTTACTGTGGCTGCAGCATAACCTGCTAATATGTCCCTTGATCCATGCATAAAAGACATACTATGGCTATATTTTAATCCTTAATTCCRATGCGTTAACTTCATTTACTTTCATTAAGGATCCAAAGGGAAATTACTTCTGCCCTCCATCCTTACTTTGCAGCTCAGCAGCTCCTTTCCACGCCAAGACCTCGCAAGGACTGGCACTAACAAAGACAGCGCCTGCCCACCAAAGGCTGCAACGGGCCTCCRAGTCAAGAGAGAGCAAACAGGCGAGAAAACACACCAGCAAGGCAAGTTAACGTCACACATACCCATGCCTGCTGTGCTTGATGTTAATGACTATCGGCATTACASGGCAAGGCAGGGTGCTTACAGAGCAGGAATAATTAGCAAAGTCAAATCACGCTGCGCTGCAAGGCTAGTGGGCTTACCGGCGTGGAAGTCTGATGTGATTACACCAACACCTGAGAAGAAAAAGTAGAAGAGGATGATAAAAACAGCCTCCAAAAAAAGGAGCAGCCAGGGCACGCTGTTTCGGAAATTGCGGTATTTAGAAGCCATTGTGCACCAGAGAGGACATTAAGCACAAGTGCGTTAATATTTTTCTTCTATGAGAACGTTGCGGTAACCTCAAACCAATGCAAATGGGGCAAGGGGAATAAAAACGCAGGGAGATAAAAGGCCCCAAAGGCGTCAGCAAGGAATAGCTGCTTATCTGCGGCAGGTCAGAAGCTCAGGCTTAGCCCAAGCGATGTGGACTGAAGTCAAAAGTGCTCATGAACGCAGACATACCGGAATGCCAACACTCTAGCGCTCCGGGCCACTATCCACACTGTGCACAAGGTGCTGGCAAGCCTTATAGATCACAACTGCATAAAGAATGTGAACAAACAACAGTTGGATGCTCTGGGCATGCAGAGATAAAGCAAGATGCCTTTACTGCTCGAGAGGTTGGTCTGCTRCTAGAGGACACGGCCACGGGAGCAGCCACGTGAACGTCCCGGGAGCCCACGGCCATCGCCGGGTCTGCAACAGCAAACAGCCCAGCCATCCACAGCAACACGTGTCTGTGAGAGCCCTAGGGAGCTGCCAACCCCCAAACCCAGGGAGCCAACGGGATATTTCACAGAATCACACAGAATCGCAGAATGTTCAAGGTTGGAAGGCACCTCTAGAGATSATCYAGTCCAACCTTCCYRCTCAAGCAGGCACACCTAGAGCGTGTGGCACAGGGCGGCATCCAGGCGGGTTGGGAGACCTCCAGAGAAGAAGACTCCACARCCTCCCTGGGCAGCCTGTGCMRGGGCTCTGGCACCCTCACAGTGCAGAAGTTCCTCCTCACCTGGAGATGGAACCTMCTGTGTTTCAGCTTATGCCCATTTCCSCTTGTCCTATCACCRGCCACCACTGAGAAGAGCTTGGCCCCTTCTTCCCTGCATTCGCCCTTCATGAACTTATCCATGTTAATCAGATCCCCTCTCAGCCTTCTCTTCTCCAAAGAAAACGCCCAGTTCACTCAGCCTCTCCTCATACAAGAGATGTTCCATCCCCTTAATCATCTTAGTTGCTCTCCACTGGACACTCTCTAGAAGCTCCACATCCTTCTTATACCGGGGAGCCCAGAACTGCACACTGTGTTCCAGATGCAGCAAAAAAAAATGGAACGCTTCACGAATTTGCGTGTCATCCTTGYGCGTATTTGACATCTTYGTCCTACGGCTGGGGCCTAGAGGCCTTGGATGCAGCCAGGCTGCAGGCTTTGAATAAGAACCCCACCACACMCCCACATATTCTCGGTTCTTTCTTTAATCTTAGTACTCGTTGTGCTTTTAGTAAATCGAAACTTCGGCTAGTTTGAGAAGAAAACCCGCTGTCTTTCTACTTTGAGGCCATCCCAATTTGAGCACTTGTGTGCTGGGCTCTGAGGCAGTCTCACTGCAAACAAATGGATAGAAAGCCACCTACCGGTGAAAGAAATAAATATATCAGACAAAAAAAAAGCATGCAAAATAATTCCAGTTCCCTGCTATTCCGTAACTAATCCACCTACAGTCCTGAAAAGCTCGCACATTCTTCAAAGATCTCCTGATAACCACATTTACAGTGTTAGGAAAATCCAGATATAGGGAAACTGCAACAAAGTAATGTGGAAACAGGAAGCGGTAAGAGAAAAGGGTCAAGAATTTGCAAGTGGAAAAAGAGGAGAAAGGACGAATCTCCTCCATGTATAAAAGTGCAGTCTGTGATATAGTTTGTTATCTAGTACTGAAAATGAGCACTAAAGAACCACCTGGGGGGTTATTTAAACTGACACTTTCCTGAAACTCCTTCCAGCTCAGAAGTGGAGGAAGGACTTGACTTGCAAACCCATGGCCCTCATGAAAAGTTTATTTATTGTGGTGTTTTGCACTTCCCTCACACCTCAGATCCAGTGAAGACATCGAGGCCTGGAGACCTCTTGGTCTAAGGTTCCTCTTAGGAACCTTAATGAGGGACTAAGAGGGACTAAGGTTCTGCGTTGCTGGAGCGTGTCCAGAGCCGGGGCTGGGGCAGAGACCCTACGAGGGGTGGCTGAGGGAGCCCCCGTTAGTCTGGAGAAGAGCAGGCTCGGGGGAGACCTTGTCGCTCTCYGTAACTGCCTGAAAGGAGGCCCTAGTGAGACGCAGTTGGGCTCTTCTCCAGAATAACTGCGTATAAGACAAGAGGAAATAGCCTCAGGTGGCACCATGGGAAATCRAAGTTAGGTATTTGGAGAAAAATCCACATGGAAAGGGTGGTGAGGCATTGGAACGGGCATCAGAACGGGCTGCCCAGCAAAGGGGCGCAGTCACCGCCCCAGCAGCGTTCAAGAAGCGTGTAGATGAGGTGCTTAGGAACATGGCTTCGCAGGCCCGCGGGGGATGGGGTTAGGGTTGGCCTCGATGATCCCCAGGGTCTTTTCCACCGTTAACGGCCCCATGGTGTTGGGGTCTAATGGCGCCGCCCGCGCGASCAGCCGGGCAGGGCCCGAGCGCCACCCTGAGGCGCGGGGGGGGGGGCCGTGACTCGGCAGCCCCGCAGCTGCCGAGGCCCCGCCCCGCCCGCTGCCCATTGGCTGAGCACCAGCCCCCTCCTAACCGGCCTCCCTTAGGGACTGGCTTCCCATTGGCCGAGACTCGGCTCCCCCGTGGCCTCTGATTGGCCCGTGTCCAGACACCGTCTGTCTTTGGGCCGATCGGGGAAAGAGGGCAACGCTCGCCCCGCCCCCYTCCCGTTTCATCCATGTGGATTGGGCTGCGTTCCTGTCAGTCTCCCATGTCCTTCGCTCATTGGCAGAAAAAACTCTCGGTCACGCGATGGGTGTTTTATTTTATGCTCTTCCTGTGGCTGTCGGGGCAGGGCCGTGCTGTGGGGAAGGACAAGGGTGTGACCAGCCCTTACCTTTGCACCCAGACAGCGCCTTTTCCCTTCCCTAGCAGCTGATTTGCCAGCAGGGCTGTCAATCAACCGCGAGGGCTGTACTTGAGCGCTAGGATGACAGGGGAAATTAAGCCCTCCTTCTTCCGCTTCCGACTGGATAGCTGAGCTGTCCTTTTATTCTTGGCCCTCGTTTTCATTGGCTCACCTTGCAGTCAATCGCAACATGGGGCGGTACTCCGAGARGGAACGATAATGGGCGGGAAATGAACAAAACCTGCTCAGTGATTGGTCAATTGGCTGTCAATTCACTAAGGCTCCTCCGTGACGGGTGGGTGCGGCCGTCAATCAACGGCGTGGGAGGGCGAACCGGTAGTGCGGGGCGGGACCAACCTCTGAACGTCGCCATGGGTCTCCTCGCCCGTCCGTCTACGTTTCTCTGCTGCTGATTGGCCCGGCGMTCCGTCATTCTCGCACGTCCGGCCTCTCCATTGGACAGTAGTGGAGGAGGCGGGACGTCGCGCGGAGGCTGCGCGGGGGGACGCGGCGGGGAGGGACGGACCAGGAATTATTTTTATTTCTTTGTTTCTCGGAGAAAAAAAAAAAGAAAGAAAGGGGAAAAAAAAGATAAAGAGGAAGAAAGGAGGGAAAAAGGCAAAAAAAAAAAAAAAGGGGAAAAAAAACCCCAGACCCGCGGGGCGGATGGTGCTGCCGTGAGCGGCGCCGGGCAGCGCGGCGGGCCCGGGCCGGAGGCGGCGGCCGGGAGGATGAAGCGGCGGAGCGCGGACTGCAGCAAGCTGCGGCGGCCGCTCAAGCGCAACCGCATCACCGAGGGCATCTACGGCAGGTAGCGGCGGGGCGAGGCCCGCGGCGCCAGCGTGGAGCGGGCGGGGCGGGGGGGAACGGGGGGGACGGGAACCCGCGCCTCGCTCCCCCCCCCCCCCGCCCTGCGGGTGCCTCCCCGCCGCCCTGTCAGCGCGTCCCGAAATGGCGCCCGCGCCCCCGTGGGCCGCCCGGCCGCTAGGCCGCAGCAGGCCCCGCCGCGGGAGGAAGGGGGGGAGCTGCTGGCCAAGGTGCTGCCGGCGCCGCCCGGAGGCTGCGGGCGCCGCTGCGCGGGGCGGGATTCACGTGGCGGCGGCGGCGGCGGAGCGGCGCGGGGCGGGCGCCTCAAACCGCCCGCACGGGGCGGGTCGCGCGGAGTGTCCGGGGACACGGGCCCCGAACGGGCCCCGCCGCGAGGAGAAGCGGGCGGGCCGAGAGCCTCCTCCTCGGGCGCCAGGGGTTGCCTCTGCCTGCGCCTACAGAAACACATCCAGGGCCTGCACCTGTGTCCCTTCCCTTCCCTTCCCTTCCCTTCCCTTCCCTTCCCTTCCCTTCCCTTCCCTTCCCCCCACGGTTTCTTAAGGTGTCAGGCTCCTAAAGGCTGCCTGAGCATTTGTTTCACGGGAGCACATTTTCAACACCATAAAAGAGTATTTTGGAGCTTTCTGTTCCTGATGTATGTAGATTTGCAATGCTCGATATCGCRTGCAATAATTTTGTGTCTTTCCTTGAAGTTCGTGTTGGGAGAGCCTGTAAAACTGACTTTTGGAGGTTATACTAAGGATGATCCCCACTCTGTTTCTAGTTTCTATTGAGGTTTATCCATGCAGTGCCTGAAGAGTTGGAGGAAATAATGCAGATGTTAGCTTTGCATAAGGAAACCAGTTAATGGTGAGCTTTGGTTATAGCAAAATTGCAACAAAGCACAGCTTATTCTAGTTATARTGAATTTCTGCTAGAGAATAGAGAGTATTTTGTTGCTTTAGAATCCCAGTTCTTGAGAAAATGGTGTTTGGAGTGTCAAAGCAATGCCATCTGTTACTTAGAAGCTAATATTCGAGATGAGTAGTTTCCTGACAATAACTTAAATTTAAGCCATTCCTTATATAATTGCTTGCTTTTCAAATGGATTTTCAAAGGACGTTACCTTTGAGCTGGCTGCGTGGAGAGGGGGMGAAAAGAAAAAACTGAGGACCATGGGGTGGATGTGTTCAGAGCTGCAGGTACAACCCTTGTAGCTGTGTGTACGACTGATAGAGACGTGAACCATCTGGTGGGAACTTCTTGTGGGACGCCCTACTTCCGAAATAGGGGTTTGGCCTCTGTTTCATGCAGCGTGTTGC